AGAGGCCTTTGATGGCTTTTCAGGGAAGAGAGACATTTCAGAAGCATTCTGATCCTTTTTAATTTATCTTGATATTTCATTTTTCTGATTTCCTGTAATCCTAGTAGAATTATACTAGCCAAATATTTTCCTTGTATACATTCCTCTACCACTGTTGGTATAGTAATCTGTAGGAGATTGTACTCCTGTGTGTATATGGAGGGAACTTTCTTGTCGTTTATTTTACTATACAGTTTAGCTAAATGTATTTTGTTTGAACCAATGTGTCATCTAGATAGATTAATAAAAGAGACAGATCGGGGCTTGTGAACTCTGATTTTGAATGAATATTGACACAGTGTATCTGGAAGATGTGGTGACTTTCAAATGCTGACTTGTGAGTATGTCCCAAGTGCCACACTTATGCTCATAACATTTAGAGCTAGAAGAGCCCATAGAGATCATAGAGTCTAATTCTGGAATTTTCTAGATGAGAAGCCCACAAGGACAAAATAACCTGTCAATGGTCATACAGGTAGTAAGTAAAAGAATAAATATTTGAACCCAAGTCTCTAAACCCAGGACTTCTAAATCAAGACTCTACAGTTTAAAATTTCAATTATAACTGAAGAATGAAAACCTATCAGTCTTATTTTTAATAATATTTTATTTTTTCAAATTACATGTAAAGGTAATTTTCAACATTGATTTTTTAAAAAAGTTTGAGTTCCAAATTTTCTTCTACCCTCCCTTCCTAAGATGGTAAGCAATTTGATACAGGTTATATATGAGCAATCACGTAAAACCTATTTCCTTATTAATCATATTGTGCAATAAGAAACAGACAATAAGGAAAAAAAATAATAAAGAAAGTGAAAATACTATAGTATGCTTCAATCTGCATTCAGATACCATCAGCGCTTTCCCTGGATGTGAATAGCATTTGTCCTCATGAGTCCTTCAGAATTGTCTTGGATCATTGTATTGCTGACAGTAGCTAAGTCATTCAGAGTTGATCATCATATAATGCTGCGGTTATTGTGTACAATGTTCTCTTGGTTCTTCTCACTTCACTCTGAATCAGTTCACCTAAGTCCTTCCAGGTTTCTGATATCTGCCTGCTTGTCATTTCTTATGTAGTATTCCATTACATTTATATATTGCAGCTTGTTTAGCCATTCCCCAATTGATGGGTATCCCCTCAATTTCCAATTCTTTGCCACCACGAAAAGAGCTGCTATAAATATTTTCGTAAAACTGAATCCTTTTCCCTTTTTTATTTTTTAATCTCTTTGGGATACAGACCTCCTAGTGGTATGCTGGATCAAAGGTTATGCACAGTTTGATTACCCTTTGGGCGTCAAAGGGTATCAAAGTTTGATGCAACAGTACATTAGTATCTCAATTTTCCCATATTCCCTCCAATATTTGTCATTTCCTTTTTCTGTCATATTAGCCAATCAACCTATCAGCCTTCTTAAAGGATTCAAGAGGCATCAACAAACAGAAGGCCTAACATTTTTTGAAGAGGGTAGAGGCCTTGAATCACAAATTAGATAAAGCAGTCTGAAGAAAAGCCTGATTTAGTTCTTTTGAATGACCAACCCCTCTACAAAAGTCCTTCTTTTTATGCCCCTCGGTGGAACAGAGATGACCCTACAATCTAGGGCTTAGATCTTCAAATGCCTAGAGGCTGGAAAAGATAGAAGGAAGTTTTACAATCTCTATTAAAACAAAAGAAAGGGAGGCTTCAGGTGTGTAACTTTCTGCCTATTCCTTTCTTACCCATGCTGCTTGAGTGGGTGTTGCTTGCTATATTTGAGGTAAGGACGTGTGAATAAAAGTGAATATTAATTGAAGTTGAAAAGAGAAAATGAGCTAAAACTCTGCTCCACTTTCCTACCTCCAGCTTTAACTTTCCTTTTTTTTTTTGTAAATTTGCAAGTGTGAATGATTCTTCAAGTAGCACAAAATAAGATACTTTCTTGTTCTAGAGTGACTGTTACATAACACATACAGTCAGCTCTGCTATAACAACTTATACATTCCCAAAAAGCATATCACTAAGAAAAAATCAAACTATAAAAATCACAAGGCTCATAGGAAAAATTGGTTTAGGGGAACAATGCTCAAAAATTGCATTAGTGACATTAAAAAAAAGGAACCTATTAAAGACAGCAGCACAGTTTTATAATGTTAAATGGTTAAGAAATACATGACGTTTAACTTGCACCCTGGTTCCTACTAGCTGGCCTGGAGGATAGAACTTCAAGGAGCTGAAACATGGTTGAAGGTGGTGGAAGGCGGGGAGGGCTAGATTAATCCTCATCAGCCCACAGGTCCCACTGCACCAAAAGATATGCAATACATATAGTATTTTACTGCGAAAAACATCTGAAGTTTGTTTATGGAAATAGGCATTGGAAGGGCTGCAGCTTATGTTGTTGTGAAGTAGTACAGTCTTCTATGTTCTCTCATAGTTTTTCAGAGAAGAAATCACGCATAAACAAACTCAAAATTCAAGTTATGTTCAAAATGTTCCCTAACATATCAAATTCACTTTTTTCCTTAACAAATGCACTTTTTTGAAACAAGTGTTATGGCAGAACTTATTGTACAGGAGAGGATGTTTGTAAATAGAAAGGGAAGCATAAAGGAAAAAGAGGTTTGGGATGGTAAATAGCAAGTTTCAACTCATTGAAATTGAGGCGCAGATAAGACATCCAATATGGAGAACATAGAGAAAATTTGAAAGGATCAATAGAAGTAACCAAAACTAGATTTATTAGAGCTAAAAACAAAATTATAGACAACAGAAAATATTCAGAAAATAACTCAACTACTGTGAGAACTGGAAACCATGCAAATGCGTAAGTAATAGATCTGAAGAAGAGGTCATAATATGGAAACTTCAGGGTAATGGACATCCTGGAAAAGATAGGGTTAAAAACAGCTAAATATCTTATTCTAGGAAATTATTTGAGGGAATTTTCTAGAAACACAAAAAACAAGTGACAATTTACAATTTTTAAAAAAATTCATAAGACTGATGAGGAAAATCTTAAAATTTAATTAAACATTATTGTTAACCTCCAACATTGACAACATTGACAAAGAATCTTACAGGTTTCAATCAGAAAAGTGAAATATCAAGAGAAATTGATCAGGATCACAAAAGATTTCTTCAGGTAAATTAAGAACAATTGGAGAAATTAAAATGACAGGCAAAATTAAAAAGCATGAGCAGTAAACTCAGAATTACCTATACAGAAAAACTAAATGTATTTTTTAAAGGCAAGAGATGGATACTTGCAAATAATATGTACTTTAAAAAATCTGCCGGAAGACATATGGCAAGACATCATGGCACATACCTGTAATCCCTGCTACTGGGGAGGTTTAGGCTGGTGGACCACTTGAACTTGGGAACTCTGAGCTGATGTGGGCTAGGCCAATCAGGTGTCAGCACTAAGTGCACCACCAATTTGTTGAGGTCCAGGGAGCAAAGAGTTATCGAGTTGCATAAAGAGGGGCAGATCAACCCATTATAGAAACAGAGAAGGTCAAAGCTGATCTTCCTGTGTAATTAGTAGTGGAATCTGAATTGGTGAAGGGCCACTGACCTTCTAACTTGGTCAAGATAGGGAGATCCAGACAAAAAAAGAGAAAGGAAGGAAGAAAGAAAGAAAAGACATATGACCTTCAAAGAAGCTTCTGAAAAATAGCCAGAGTGAAAAATAAAATTATAGCCTAATATCATTAATGCATATTGGACCAAAACCAAATTAAAATAAAGGCAGTAGAGCAATGAACAGATTGAAAAGATACATAAAAACCAAATATGATTTTAACTACAGTAAAAGGATAGTTCAATATTTGGAGGAAAAACTATAATAAATCCTATTAATAAAAGAAAAATTGGGGCAGCTAGGTGATCCAGTGGATACAGCACTGGCCCTGGAGTCAGGAGGACCTGAGTTCAAATCCAGCCTCAGACACATAACACTCACTAGCTGTGTGACCTTGGGCAAGTCACTTCACTGCAACTGCCTCACATTAAAAAAAAAAAAGTAATTTTAAAAAAAGAAAGGAAAAGTCTTCAGTCAGTCGCTAAGCATTTATTAAGCACCTACGACGTGGCAGGTATTGTACTAAGCACTGGTGATACAGAAAGAAGCAAAAGATAGCTTTTGTCCTCAAGGAACTCACAGTCTAACAAAGGACACAACAAGCAAATGAATATGTACAAACAAGTCATATACCGGAAAAACAGAAAATAATTTTTAAAGAGAAGGCACTAGAATAGAGGGGTTACAAAACTTCCTGTAGAAGATGGGGTTTTGGCCAGAACTAGAAGGAAGCCAGGAGGTAGAGAGTGTGGGGATGCATAGCAGGCATGAGGACAACCAGAGAAAATGCCTGGCGCAGAGATGGGATGTCTTGTTTGAAGAACAGCAAGGAGATCGATGTCACGGGATCACAGATCACATGGTGGGGAGTAAGGTGCAAGAGGATCCGAAAGGTGAAAGGGAGACACTAAGTTATCAAGGGCTTTGAATGCCAAACACGATTTTGTATTTTATCCAGGAGCCACTGGACTTTATTGCGGGGGGGATGTGACATGACAGGACCTGCACTTTAGGAAAATCACTTTGGTGGCTGAATGGAGGAAGAAAGGGAGTGGGGAGAGACTCGAGCAGAGCCACCAGGAGGGTACTGCAGTAGTCCAAACCTGAGGGGGTGAAAGCTTACACCAGAATGGTGGCAGTATCAGAGAAAAGGAGGGGGCATATTCTAAAGATGTTGCAAAGGTGAAATCAACAGACCTTGGCTACAAATTGGATTAGGGGAGGGGGGTGAGAGATAGTGAGAAGTCAAGGATAACACATAGGTTTTGAGCCTAAAGGACCAGGTGGTGTTGCCTTCATCAGCAATAAGGTAGTTAGGAGTGGGTAGGGTTTGGGGGAAAAGATGACTTCCATTTTGGACATATTGAGCTTAAGAGTTTAAGTAAAGCTTACCTGATGTGGAATAGTGGAAAGTAACCTAGTGCCATAGTCAAAGGACATGGGTTCAAGTCCTCTTAAGCATCTACGAAGAAGCACAGTATTAGAGTCTCATACTAGAAGCATACTAGAATTAAGAAAGACCTTAAATGCTTAGTTGAATCAACCAGGCTTCTATCCCAAGCTACAACAGAGATTAATAGCTTAAGAATCCTCAGCGAGGTACTAAGTGATACAACAATCTTTGAAATGTGAAAAGATACAATCATACCTTATTTTCACAAAGGCTTGTTTGAATCTCTGATTTCTAACACCTCCATTTCATCCTAGAATCAATAGTTATTTGTTATTGATACTATAATTAACACCACAAATGTATCTTTTGTTTTCCCTTTCTACTAAATACTTTCTTCTTGGTTTGTAAATTTAAGGCAAGCTTTTCAGTTTGAGATAGTTGCTTTGAGTTTTCTAGAAGCCACACAGTCAGGTACATACCTCCCCTAACCCCTTCCATAAGGGTTTTCCAAAGGGGACTTTTGGTTGGTAGGGAGCATCGATGCCAGTCAACCATCCTCTAAGCAATTACTAAATATAACTAATGAATATGGACTTCTCAAAGATCTCATAGTGATTCAGTGTATTTGCTTTGGCACTTGCTCACTGGGTGAACTTGGCACATCACTTACCCTCCAAGGACTCCGTATACAACCCTGGAGGTTGGACAAGAATGGCCTCTGATGCCCCTCCTAGCTCAAATTCTAGGATCTTATCTGTATGAATAACTATATATATCTTTGGACTAGAATACCTTCGATAAAAGACAGTGTCCATTTTTATTTTTAAAAATATAGGACAATAGAGGAATCTTTAATTTTCCTTCCATAGAAGGCCTTTCCTAATCCCCCTAAATTCTAGTGCCCTCCCTGTATTATCTCCAATTTATCCTGTTTATAGTTTGTTTGCATCTAGTTGTTTGCATGTTGTCTTCCCTATTAGGCAGTGAGCTCCTTGAGATCAGGGGAAGTCTTAAGCCTTTCTTATTCCCTTTGCTTAGCAGTGCCTGGCATATACTAAGTGTTTAATAAATGGTTACTGACTGCCTGATTTAATAAGGTAAGAAATACATATAGTTGAAGCCTCAAACTGATATTAAATAAAGCAGGAAAGCAATAATAGCATTCTCACTAAAAATAGTAGTAAAGCAAGGCTGAATGTTTTTGTCACTTAATGTTAGACACTTTCTTAGAAATGTTAGCCATTCAAGCAGGATGATTTCAGAAAAATCCGGAAAGACTTACATGAACTGATGCATAGTGAAGTAAACAGAACCAGGAGAATGATGTACACAGTAACAGTAATATCGTTCGAAGAATTGTGAATGACTTAGCTATTCTCAGTGATACAATGATCCAAGATAATCCCAAAGGACTAATGATGAAGCTTACTACTCACCTCCAGAGAAAGAACTGACATTGATTGAATACAGACTGAAGCATGCTATTTTTCACTTTCTTTCATTTTTTTCCTTTTATTCAAGTCTTCTTGTACCAAATGACTAATACGGAAATATTTTACATAATTGTACAAGTATAACCTATAGCTGATTGCTTATTATCTCAGGGAGGGGGAGGTGAAGGAGAGATAGAATGTGAAACTCAAAACTTTAAATAAAAATGTTTAAAAAAAGTTAGTCATTGCAAAAAAGGCACAGAAAAGAAATTAAAGGAATAAGAAGGTGGAGAGTATGTCTGTAAAGGAGATAGGCTAAGAGTGGTCAGAGAGACTAAGTTTCTTCTAGCTATAGATCCTAAGAACCCATCCTAACTATGATCCTATGTTACTCAATGTAGATCTTATTTCTTCAGAGAAGGAAAGAGATTTCAGGGATGCTGTTCTCCATAGCCCAGGGTCAATTTTCCCTAGGCAAGTCAAATAACTAAAAAGCCATGAATTTAATGATATAGAAGTCACTATTGACTTTCAATTTCAGTAGATTGGTGAGTTCAGAAGTTGAATTCATTATAACATGAAATAACATGAGATTATGACATCAAATGAAATATTTGTAAACTGCTTTGAAAACCTTAAAGCATGATACAGGTATTAGTTATTATTATTAGACAGCAATAAAGACAAATAAATACCATTATAGGTCTTTGCCCTTAGGAAAAACTCTTTGAAACATGAATTTCCATGGAGTTATAGGGGTTGTCTATTGCCATAAAAGAGATTTTTTCCTTTGGGCAAAGGCTTATAAAGACTAGTTGAATGCAATACCGATCCAATTCTAATACCTTATTGAATTAGATAAAGTCACAATGAAATTCACATGAAGAAACAGACAGATAAGAAAGAAGATTAGCGTCCCACCAGATTTCAAAGTGTTCTCAAACTACCTAGTATTGAAGGGGAAAAAAATAGAGCAAGAGATCAATGAAATAGAATAAACAAGTCCCCCAAAGAACACAGTGTTTTATAAGTGGTTGCTGCTTTATAAACCTATGTCTAAAAAACACTGGGGATAGAAATCATTAAATAAAAACTTTTGGGAAATATGGTTAGCAACATGGTGAAAGAAGGGTTTAGGTGGATTCCTTTTACCACCCATTACAAGGAACTCTAACTAAATCAATGATCCAAATGTTTAAAGAATTATTTTTAAACTGGAAGAAACTGGAATAACATTTATTTCAACAGGAAAAGGAAGAAAATATTAAATAAATAGAAGGAAGCACTGGAGACAAAAGCATTAGGTTTGATTATACAAAGATAAAAGGGTTTTGAATGACAAATAAATGTCTAAAGTAAAAATGAAAGAAATTTATTAGGAAAAATATTGCACTGGAACGGTAGGTTAGAAAAAGGTTGTCAATTTTAATGACAAATGTGGATTTTAATGCAAAACAGAGGAATTTGTACTTCATCCTAGAAGTAATAGGGAGCCACTGAAGTTTATTAAATAGGGAGGTGACATGGTCAGACTTCTATTTTGGAAAAATCACTTTGGTAACTATGGAGAAGATACAAAGATGGGTCAGATCAATTAGGAGTCAATTATAATAATTCAGGCGAGTGGTCAAGGGCCCTGAACTAGAGTTTTCATTGGATGAGTAGAAAAAGGGACAATGCAGCAGATATTACAGAGATAGTATCAACAAGGCTACAACTCTATTTGTTATGTAATATACAGTATATACTATGCGAATATGTACATATGTATATGTAAATATATATGTATATTTTTTGCTTTCTCAAAGTGTATGCATCGTGTGTTACTTATTATATTTTATTCCCTTTTTTGCTTATCCAAACTGTAAATAAATTTTAGTGTCTTTGTTGCTGGTTTATCTTAATTTCAATTATTAGCATTTGCTGTGAATTTTAAGTTTGTAATTTAAAAACAAAATACTAGCTTATGAAACATGCAGAGTGTTTTTGTGATGATTCCTTTTACAATGCTTGATTCTTTCACCTACAAAATTCTCCTGTAGTGACAATCCTTCCCCTGTCAATCAACTGTTCTTTTGGAAACCATCAGCATCATTACCAGACATGCCCATGCTGCTAGAACTGCTTTTGGAAATCACTTCTGCTTGCCAGAGCTACCAGGAGATCCCTTACAGGCCATCAGCTGTTTCTTTTGGCTCCATTTCAGTCTACAAGACCATACTCCATTTAGAGGATGGCAGGCAACAAGAAACAGCTGATTAGTAGCAGAAGCTCCAGCCCCTAGGCTTTTAAATAGAGTAAGGCACTGTAAGCAGGAGCAGGTTCCCTGGAATGTGCCTCTAATCGCAATAAACAAGTTTGCAAGTTCTATTTCCCAGGGATCTCTATGTGCTGGATTTAGATGTCTACCAACCACAGCACTGTGAGGAAAGAAAAGTCTAAGAGACATAATTTCTGGGTAATTAATATTAAATTTATTAACTGTAACTAGCAAACAATTGACAAATCGTAATCAGTAGCTTTCTCTAGGAAACCAAAGATGAACCTTGGGGGCTGCTGGGAGTTTAAATACCCTTGGAAGGTTCCTGAGAGGCAGAAATCAGCTGACTGGTTAACAATTAATGAGAGAATGAATATTATAATGAGAAGAGGGCTTATTTTAATGGATTGGAGAACTTGACTTTGATTATGTCACTCTTGAACAAAAAGACTCTTCTCTATCCAGACCACTCTGCCTTGGGCAATCTAGACAAAGGATCTATTCTCCACCCCAGTTCTACTGGAGTAGAACACCAAGAAACTGGGCTGGAATTCATTTAGATAAGATGGTCTCTAACCTTTAATCAGAAGTAAACTTTCCTGGTTGGGTGGGGGTGGAGTTCCACCCAAGACTGAGCCCATTCTCATCAACAGCCCTGTCCTTCAGAGGCTGCCTTGACCTGCAGGGGCTGGTTTCTGAATGAGAAAATAGGAAGGGGAAAAAAAAAACCTATATGAGTGACTGGTTGTTAATAATTATTTATCTTAGCACTAACAACAGTGACTCCAACAGCTTCCATAAGAGAGATACATCTCTGCAATTAAATATAAGTTGATAGGAAAACGTAAATTAAAAAAAAATTTGTTAGCAAATACAGTCACATATATTGCTGTTACTGTGTACAACATTCACTTCACTATGCATCAGTTCATGTAAGCCTTTCCAGGTTAGCAAATATAGTCCCATTCAAAGATAAGCTTCCTGAGGGCAGAGGACTGTCTTTTTGCTTGTTTTTATATCCCCAAGGTTTAACACAGTACCTGGTACACAGTAATAATATGCTTAATAAGTGTTTGTTGGTTAAATGCTCAAAGAACTTATGGGAATCCTTCAATTATTTTGTTGCTCAGGTTAACTAGAAACTACTCAACATTTCACCCAGTTTAAAAATACTAAGTACAGTATCTATGTATTGGATTTCTCTCCCAACCCCACCTACAGGTACCACATTTCTAGGTTGTAACTCATCTGTAAAGGGCCTGGAATCCAGGAAAGGTGTGCCTAAACACACATTTATAAAAAGCCAGTGGAGGAGAGGGGTGCAGCTAGGTGGTGCAGTGGATAGAGCACAAGTCCTGGAATCAGGAGGACCAGAGTGCAAATCTGGCCTCAAACACTTGACACTTACTAGGTGTGTGATCCTGGGCAAGTTACTTAACTCCAATTGCCTCACCAAAAAAAAAAGAAAAGAAAGCCTAGAAAGGATTTGCTGACATAGAGACTCTGTGTGTGTGTGTGTGTGTGTTATTAAGAAAGTATGTGGCTTGGGTGGGGGAAAGATAAAGACCTTGGTCTCAGAGTTTACTTTTATCTCACCACCTTCTGTCCTCCCTTTTTTATTCCCCC